GACGGTGAAAGTTGCGGTGACCAGAAGGTGGGAGGAGGTGGGTAGCAGCTTTGCAGAGGGAGGTGTCGGAAGAACTAACTGGGGTAGTGATCTTGTTTCTTTTAAGAAATGCACAAAGGCGCAGGTTGGGGTAGATGTGGTCCATTGTGGGAGGGACCAGTCATGGCCTGCTGTGGCAGTTGGTGAGCTTTTAAGGCTTCTGATACCCTCTGGGCCTGGAAGTCTGACGTCCGAGCTTTCAGCCAGGACTGCATGGCTGGGACTGGCAGTCTGAGAAATGCAGCACTGCGGACGTGCTTATCCCTGTTCCAAGGGAGCAGGGATTACTGAGTCTGCTCTCTGGGTAGGACAGAGGCAGACCCAGCAGGGTGGCTGGATGGTTCCGTTAAAGATTTGGATGATCTGAGCCGTGTGAGACAGTGTCTGACTGAGGTATGTAGGAAGGGCCTGTGTTGTGGTGTTAGAGGTTCAGAGGATGAATAATAGTGAAGAAGGAACGATCAGAGCAGAACACAGGAAGTAAAGGTGGTAAGTTGTGCTGGGGAGGAGTCTGAAAGGGTTCGCTGTGCCTAGGTTTTGGATTACGGTGTCTAGGGAGGAAGAAGGTGAATAACCCTAACCCTAACTCCTTATCTGCAGTAAAACACTGTGAACCTCCTTTGGTTGGAAACGTCCTTCTCCGATGTTTCCTAGAGCCACAAGCCCGGCACGCGTGGTAACAGTGTGATACTCGCACTGTTCCTGCTGCGGCAGGGGCCCTGCTCTGTCAGCTACAGGACACGCAGGGTAAACCGGTCTCTCAGGGTACTGTACACACTACATGTACTACGCAGTGCTTTATTTTGAAATCCAACTTATCTTAGTTTTTCCAGTTAACAAGCATGTTTACACAGCCAGGGCTAAGTAGTAATATCCATCCGATTAACCACAGGAAGTACATTTTCATATTTTTTCCAGCTTTTCTGGGATGATAAAATATTGCTACTTTGTAATTTAAGGAGCACCTGAAACTTCAAATTTACTGAAGTTGTGGGGCACAAAATACCAAACTCTTATCTCTACCTGTGCAAAAATCTATCCATTAAATTTTATCTTTGGCATGCATGCAGACAAAAAAAAATTGATTACCCCATAATATCCAGTGTTTTTTCCTTTTGGAGGCATATATTAGGGTCACTGAAACATTTTGTTTTCACATACAGGGACTTCCTTCTTCACTGAAACTGGAAAGGGGAACACTGATGTCATCCGAGCAGAGAGCCAAGGCTAAACACCTTCCCCAGACAAAAGCAGCACCCTCCTTGCCCAAGAGGAACCATCCTTCCACGGCAGGTCTACATTACTTTGATGTTGGGAAGACTTCTAGCTTGTTTATCTGAGAGCAAACACTGGCTTCTCACTATTTCCAACCAGCTCCCACCCCGCCTGCCCTGTCTTGAAGTCTGGAAGGGCTGACGGCTTGTCCATCCAGCCCTGCCAAGCCTGGGAGATCCTCACCCTTACAGAGCAGCTGTGCTCTCTCTGGGAAGGCAGGGTGTGCAGGGAATCTGTCATGTGGTCAGAAAGGGGCTGCCAACTGAATTCCTCGTCAATCCACCCAGATTCCCAGCAGGCTTCGTTGGTGGCTCTCTGGAGGAGACCACGGGAACGGCACGCGGGGAGGCGCACAGCAGAGAGAAAGCGCAGCAGGAGTTGAAGGCTGCCCTCAATCGGGCCTCTCCCCCAGGCTTGAGTGTCACCTGAATGTCACCCGGGAATCTCTTCGGTCTTCTCGCCCTGACTGCATTCTATAATGCAGCCCATATGGGGGAGGTCAAGTGGCCCGGCAGTGCCATGTAGAGATCAAATAATTTGAGAAGGATTCTGCACCCTGGTCTGTGGTGGAGAAGTGGCAGAATGGAGGAATCCCCCAGGTTTGGAAATCCTCTGGACTTTCTGCCCATTCTGGATGTCTTGCTATTTAACCGGCCCAGGTGTGCAATGTCGTTGCTAGGTCAACGATTTTCAAGCAGTGGTGAGTTTGGTTTTCAAAAAAACACATAGATGTGCTGGAAATTCATTTCACATGACATAAAGGGGGAGCAGATTTTTTTGTCCTGTTGTGTGTTTAGGCCATAAATATCCCCTGGCCCTGCTGAATTTTAGATGATTCCACATCAAGAAACTACGAACAGGGCCCGGGACTTAGCTCAGTGATGCCGCCACCTGCCTTGCAAGCACAAAGCCCCGAGTTTCATCCCAGTAACCCCCCAAAATACCCAAACAAACAAAAGAAACTGAACAGTTGCACCATTATTAACCATATTATGATACACATAAGAGAGAATTTTTACTCAAATTTTAAGAGTTTTAGAAATCCCTATATCAGAATTCCTAAAGTATGATTTGTTAAAATAATATTCTATGTGCATTCTCCTAGTTCCTGTGGTGTGACAGGCTTTGGAAAACAGCCACAGTAAATCTGTCCCTAGAACACACCTGAAGCATCGCCGTATTCACTTGGTATAACTTCTAATGAATAAGTGCAGCAGCGGGATGTGATTTAGGCTCCCAGAAATTAAAACGTGGGTCAGTCCCACTGTTTGAAAAGGAGGGGTACTTATCAGATGCTTTGCATTTGGCTAGAGAAATGACTCCAAGGATCAATACGACTGAGAGGGAATCAAGAGGTAGTTTTACTAAGCTAAGCAGAATATGTAAGTCCCTAGGCACGCAGCAGATGTGACACCATTCGAGTGGACTGGTGAGGGATCCACCAACGCACAGGAGAAAGTGAACAACGTGCATATATATTCTTCTTCCTTTTTTGTGGCTACCAAGGATCGAAGTCCGATCCTTGCGCTTATGAGGCAGGTGGCAGAACCACTGAGCTAAAACCCCAGCCCTGAACAATGTACATTTGATTAGCTGTTTCAACGCATTCTGTCACGTGGAAATATTTCATGACATCTTTGTTTTCCAATACATAATATTTCTTGCATGCTTTAAATCCAAATACAGTATCTTAGAATTATGTTTCTCTATTGCGTGAATAAGCACAAAAGAAAAACAAGGGCTTACCTGGTTTTGACGGAAAGACTTGACTGGAATAATTGTTAACAGACACTGCCGCAGGGCAGTGTGACGCCGGGACGCCTGTGAGTGGAACCAGGTTCTGTCTTTGCAGGGTTTCTTACGGGTCGTCATGGGCCGTTCGTCAGAAAGTACTGTGATGTGGTCACCCTGAAACGTGTACCCACGAAGCAGATCTGTGCATACAGTCCTCGAGAAGACTCACGTACACAGTCTTCTGAGGAAGGCTGATGCGTTTGGTCGTTTACTCGTCTCACACACTAAATATTAATCGTAGCAGTTTTGGTTACAGGTACAAAGACCTTTATCTTGGCTCATGGTTAAGGAATCGGGCGCCACCAATCTGGTCCGAGCAGAGATCTCTTTAAATCCCTTCGTCCTGCTGTGCGCCACCCCTGCTGCCGATGGAAGGCCCAGGAAGCACAGCTGCACCCTAGAGTGTCCAGTCACGTTCTACCCTGTTCTTGACAAAGTACGACCCCTCCACACCCTCAAGCCCTGACCGGGTGGAAAGCCACAACCTCTTCCTACCGAACTTTCTCCTCGAAAGTCCCGTGGTGCCTCTCGCTTCCACAGCCCCCTCTGTATACGCCTGGGACCCCTATAAAGACCTTATAGTCTGCACGACAGTAACTGGTCTGGCCTCTAGTGCCAGAGTGGTTCCTCTCGGGTTTATTCTGAAATAAACTTGTACTGTTGAGCCTATACCTCTGTTTCTCTTCCTTTTCTCCTAACACATGGTTTCAGAGATTGAAATCCGTTGTCTCCTAAGGAGAAATATCATAGTGGCAAGAAATGAGGAAAGAAAATGACTACGATACGGGAGCCGGAAGCACAGAGCAGGACAAGGGCCTGGACGGAAGGGGCAGGGAGGAGGGGTCTCAACCAGACCCCAGAAGTGTGCTTCACTCCTATCCTGCACTCTGAAGCCAAACAAGATGGGGGGGTACCAGGGAATCCAACTCAGAACCTTGCGCTTGTGAGGCGTGAGGCAGCACCACTGAGCTACATCCCGGGCCCCAAACAAGATATTAATGGGAGAGTTCACAAGACTGCAAGTAATATCTCCCCTGAAGAAATATAGTGAGTTAATAATTGGACATTTTAACCTGTGTGGAGGGACCTACAGACCACAGGGGGATGACAGTCTGAAGTCTTTGGGTGTCCCCGCTCCAACACCAGGCAATGATACGGTACAGGGGCTGTATTTCCGGAATCATTCTGGCCCTCTGGCTTGGGAATATACTTGTTTCCAGAATTCATGTTTTCTTTGTGACCCCAGATAAAGTGGGTTGACAGTCTGCTGCAGCTGAAATGCTTGCAATAGTTTCCCTCTTTACTCCTTTGTAGAATATTGCTATAATCTACTGTGACGTTTCTTTATTCGATCGTTGTATTCCTTTTCGGGTACGTATTTATTGTCTTGGCTTAAAATGATTAGACTGGTACGGTGTTAGAAAATCTTGTCCACCTAGCCAACTACCTTTTTCCAAATTTTTGATGTCTGATAACATCAGCCCCTCCCTCTATTCCGTTGTGTCCTGGCCTTGCCTGGTTCTCATGGCTGTGATTTCTGCACGGAATACTAACTGTGGAACTATTACAGCACACTTGTGACCCCATTCTTAAGGTGAAGAGAAAGGAAAAAGCCCAATGAGTCTAGAAAGAAGTAGTACCAGGTGGGGTGGTGCCTCTTAATCACAGCACTGGGGAGGCCGATGCAGGAGGATCACAGCTACTTCAGGGCCAGCCTCGGCACAGATGTGACTCTACAGACCCGGCCAAAAAAAAAGTGGCAACGCGGAAAAGGCGGGCGCAAAATCTGCTTAAATACAATATTTCAACAGGTTAGGACAAACTAACACTCCGGGAGAGCCGCCGCTCTAGAAGTCTCAGAGTTCCACTCACGCAAGTAGGGGTTCGTCCCTCCCGTAGTCTCTCCCAGCTCAGCGGATTGGCAATGAGCAGCACCCAATCACTGATTCAGAGGCGGGAAATGGAGCAAGAGCCAATCACTAAGAGGCGGTCGTACGAATGGCCCAATCAGGCGGGAGGAGGGAGGGCTCTTCCGGTGTCATGGTGCCTATGACCGCATCTCAGCGTTGCTGAGAAACACATCAACGGGTTAGATCGCCTTTCTCCGTGACTTCTGCCGGCTCTGTGCAGCGCGGCCACACAATGGTGATGGTACAGACTGGGACGCCTGGGGGTGAGGTGTGAGTGGGTGTGGCGGGAGCCAGTCTCACTGTGTGCTGCAGTCCGAGGTCCTCCTGGTCTCTAATGCTGGGTGCCCCGTGTCCCCCTCTCTGGGCGGGCACTGGTCCAGCGCTGGGTCCCCAGCTTTGTGTCTCCCACAGCGATCACACAAGGCCAGAGCCGTGGGAAGACCGTAATTCAGGTGCGGGGTTGAACTGAGCGAATTCTGGTGTCCTTGGCCCTAGAAGGACCTGCATTTTATAAATGTTTGTGATACACACGCACACACACACACACACACACACACACACACACACACACCCGGGGGGAAATGCTCCTTTCTGATGAGCCTGAAATTGTAAATTTCCAGTATGTCCCCTCGTTGACAAGCTCATGATAGGTGTTGATGAGGCAAGGGGAATCCAAAGAAATGTTTAATGTCAGTGGATGTGAATCCTTAATTGCCAAGCAGGCAGTGAACTCGTGTGTCACACACACAGCAACGCAGAGAAGTATCATCTTAGTTAGGTGGCTACTCTGTTCGCAGATAGAACTTTTTTGTTTGTTTGTTTATTTGAGACAGGATCTTGCCCTCTAGTTCAGGCTGGCCTTGAACTCACTCTGCAGCATAGGCCGGTCTCCAACTCGAGGCCATCCTTTTGCCCAGACCTTCCAAGTGCTGTGATGACACAGTGCACCGCCATGTTGAGCGCAGAGAGACCATGTACGTGAGGATTCCTACAAACGTTCGGAATACTGAAAAAATGGAGGGGGAATTAGTATGTTATTGAGGCAGCTGAAGATGTCCACGCTAAGGACAACTTCCAAAAGGGTCTGCGAGTTAAACCCACCCTGAGAAACTCCAAACTGGGGCATCTACTTGGACTTGTGATTTGTGAGGAGCAGGAAAGGAGAGGGTTATCTCGTACAATCCTGATAGTCCTTGGACTGCTTGTAGGTGTTGCTTCAGGAGCCGCAGTGCAGATTGAGGTGGACTTCATATTATGCAGTGCTGCAGTAGGGTTAAAGGTGTGCAGGTACAAGAATCGTTCAGGAGAAAAGAGTTTCCTGTAGAGTGGAACGAATGGGAGAAGAAAGAAAGTAGGGGAGGAGGCCATGCTGGATGGTTCTACGATCAGCACCCGTACCAGAGGGTCTTCTCCGAGGTTAGATAGTTCTTAGTGTGACAAAAAGGAAGAGGTGTGTGTTGGCTTAGTACGAGAGTGAGTCAAAGGCATGATGGACAGATGGGGACTTGTTAAACATTGCACAAATATGTCTTCTGTTATTACTGATTTTTTCTTTGATGTCTTTTGTTGTGGCAACTATGGTGACCAATAGTAGCTTTCTATGATGCCCTCTTCAGTCTGTGCTAATCCAAGATATTCTCTGTAACATTTCTCCTCCTCGTGAAGAGTGCTGGTACGGAGAAGTCCACTTCACCATGAGTGTGGTCTTCGAAGGTCCTTAAAGATGCTCACTGTTCTCGCTTCGGTTTTCATGAGACTGCCACCTTGAGAATCCTCTCTGCTGAGGAGCACCGGATTGCCTTGTCCACGTGTGCAATCTGTCTCATTGTGATTGTCAAGAATTCTGAGTCCTCATTTGTCGTGGGCTTTCTACTCAAATTCTGCAATATCTCAAAATAGCTAGTTGAAGAGCCTGACATTCAAGATCAATAATCCTGTCACATTCTTGTTTAGGAACAAGAATCAGAAGGGCAACAGGAAGAGAGCCTTTCCCCTTAAAGCTCTCATGGAGAATTTTTCTGTCTAGGAGGGTAGTACATAGGGGCACACTGGTATCTATGTTCCGACCTTTTTCTCTCACCTGTCTCTCTCCTGACTTTCTCTCCCTACATCCTCTTTGTCTTTCTTCATTGTTTTCTTTTCTGATTGCTTTTTGCTCCTTTCTCTCCCTTCTCTTCTTGCCTCTTTTTCCTTCCTTCATTCACTTCCATTTCTTGCTCCCATCTACCTTCTTTTCCTTCATTTCCTTCTTTTCCCGTCTCTTCCTCTTTCTGACTTTTTCCTTTCATTCATTATTATCAGTTATATTGTGAATAGCTTTCCAAATTTGAAAAATTATCAACTAGACATTGTCTTTTCTGCCAACGTTAGGATATAGTTTACTTATAATTTTATTTATTTAAAATAATCATAATCACCACCATAGTACAGTTAGAATAATTTCTTTAGCTCCTAAACAACCTCTGCCTCCTTTATTTATTTATCCACTTTGCCTAGTCACTTGCCCATTTCTTGACTGGGTCTTTAATTTTAGGGGATCAGAACTCTTTTTAGTTCTTTATATATTCTAGATATTACTCCTCCATCTGAGGAATATCTGGCAGATTTTTTTCCCCATTCTGTAGATTGTCCCTTCAATCCACTGGTTGATTATTTTGCTGTGCAGAAAAGCTTTTTCCTCTGATATAATCCCATTTGTTGATTCTTGCTGTTTATTTCTTGTGCCACTGAAGTTCTGTTTAGAAAATGCTTTCCTATACCTATGTCTTCAAATGTTTTACCTATTTTATTTTCCAGGAAGTTTAATGTTTCTTTTTGATGCTTAGATGTTTGGTTTGTTTTTATTTTAATTTAGTACATGTGACAGATTTGGGTCTGGTTACAGTCTTCTGTAAACAGAGGAGTTTTCCCAGCACCCCTTGTTGAATAGGCCGTCTTTCCTCCAACAAATGCTTTTGGCCCCTTTGTCAAAGGTTAAATAAGTGAATGTGTCTAGGAATGTTTCTGGATCCTTTATTCTGTTCCATTGATCCATGCATTGGTTCTCGTTCCAGTACCATGCCGTTTTTATCACTATTACTTTGTAGAATAGCTTCAGGTCTGGCATTGGAGGCTTCCTGCTTTGCTCTTCTTGCTCAGATTTGCTTTTGCTGTTCTGGATCACGTCTTCTGTATAAACTTGGGGATCGTTTTCTGTAGTTCCGTGAAGTATGCTGTTGGTGTTTTTTTTGGGGACTGCACTGATGCTATGTAACAGATTTGGGAGGATGGCTATTTTTTCAACATTGATTCTGTCTATACTAGAGCAGGGAACATATTTTTATTTTCTGATGCTCTCTACAGTCTCCTTTTTCAGAGTAATGTACTTTTCTTTGTAGTGGTTCTTCCTTGGTTAAGTTAATTCCACCGCATTTCATTATTTTCGAAGCTTCTGTGAATAGTGGTGTTTTGATAATTTCCTTCTCATTGGGTTCTTTATTGGTGTGCACAAATGCTAAAGATCTCTATGTGTTTATCTTATGTCCTGTTACGCTGCTGTAGTTGCTTATTAGTTCTACGAGTTTTGGGGTGGCATTCCTTGCTGCTTCTACATAGAGTAGCATGTCATCTACAAAGAATGATAGTTTGAGTTCTTTTCGTGTATGTATCCCTTTTATTTCTCCCTCTTGCCTAATTGCACAGGCTAATGTTTCAAGTACTGATTTTGGGGGTGGAGGGAGATGCTTTTAGTTTTTTCCCCATTTAATATGGGGCTGGCTGTTTGTTTGTCATAAATAGCTTTTATCCAATTCAGGTATGATCCACCCTACCTGGTTTCTTGAGTTGTTTGTTTTTTGTTTTTTTAAATCATCATGAAGGGGTATTGGATTTTTTTAAAAGCCTTTTTTTCTGCATCTATTGATATATTGTATAGTTTCTGACCTTGCTTCTGTTTATATGATGCATTACATTTATTGATTTACACATGATGAAGCATCCTTGTATTTCTGGTACTAAACTTACTTGGTCATAATACATGATTTTTTGATGATGTGCTTCTTTCACTAGTCAGTGTTTGCTTTCCTCTACCTTTGTGACTTTTTGCCCTGCCTTGGGAGAGTTAGGAGACCTCAGAGGTCTTCTGTTGCTTTGGAACCCCATGCTTCTGTGAGTGTGTATATTTTTTTCATATATTATCCCTCTCATTTCTTCCTCGCTTTTTTTTTCCGGTGGGAGGAGTTTACTGTGGGTTGAGGTCCACTAGAGTGCAGAGAGCTTGTGACTTATATGAAGATTTTTTTAGTAAGATATTGCCTCCCTGTGAAGTCTTTTAAGTGATTTGTTTGTTTTCTGTCCCTGTTTTGCAGAGATAATTACTTCTGGTTATAACAGCATCAACTTTTCAGAGCTGTCCTCTAGGCTTAGGTAGCCGTTGGACCTAGGGTATGTACCAGGGTCCTGCCACCTTTGTGAGCAAGGAAAGGCCTAGTACCCAGTTCTTTGGTAATGGGGTGTAGTAGCGTTTGCGACCTCCAGACAGTATGGATATTTGTATGCACTGAACACCAATTGAGCATAATCTCTAGGTCCCCTTGGCTAAAGTATTACAATCAAGAAGAGTATCAAGCGCAAAGTCTTTAATGACCAACTCTAATAATACTGTACCACTGTTAACCGTAAGGCTAAGCTCTATATTTATAGAACACACTGTAAGACCAACCAGGCATTTTTATGTACAGCAAATACCTATTCCATAGAGCAATTTTGCCTCCTTTCCAACAGAACAGTATTCAGCTGTGGTAAGATACTGTTAACTACCTACAGATTCATAAGGGTAAATGGTGTGGCTATGGGACCATGAAGAAAAAACACAGATTATAAAAATTAAAAAGCAAAGGGAAATTAGTAGTGTTATATAACAGTTACCAAAAAGCCAAGTAGGCTAAGGATGAAGAAAAGGGAATGGAGATTAAACTAGAGGGGAAGAGGATAAGAAAGAAACTCAGGATATGTAGGTTGAGAGAGAGATGGCGAGGAAAGAAGAGAGACGGGAGAAAAAAAGGACCTATTAAAACCAAACAGTTATGTTTTGAAAAGGGAAAGTAAGAAAACTGATGATAAAACTCCAAACTCCACCAATAGTTAATAATAATAATAATACCAGTCGAGGAGCAAAGAAAAATGAAGGGAGAAGAGAAAAAAGCAAAACAAAAGAATTTCTACATATTTCCGAGAGAGTGTTTTCTTTTTGAGCCTGCGTTTTTAACCTTACTTGCCACGTTGCTCTTTGCCCCTCTTCAGTTTGTTGGTCTGTGTGGAGAATTCCCCGTCTGTCAGCCACCGTTCATGCCAACTGCCCGACGTGTCACGCCAGTCCTGGAAAGGTGTGGAGCGCCTTTCCCGTAGACGCACACCGTCCTATTTCTCTTGCTGCTTTTCCTGTTTACCGTGTGTAAATGTCACCAGGCAGTATTCTTTTAGTTTTGCCCCCTTGGCATGTTCGATAAATGAGTACCGGAGAAATTGCGCAGAAAACCATTATGGGTGGTGTCTGTGTCTCACCATTGTTCCTTTGTGCTCCTACCTGATCCAGGAGCGGTGCTTTCTCATCCATTCTAGTGGTCAGCCACGTGGTTGAAGTTATTATCAAGTTTACTTTTAACTGATGTGAAAAGAATCGCATGTGTGTCCAGGAACAACAGTACAGTGTATTTTCAGAAGTTGGAGTGATGTCACTGGTCTGTAGTTTGGTATACTCAAAAGTAGAAGAAGTGGCGGTGGAGTGTATCGTGTGATTGACTATTATGATGATGATGGGTTTTTTTTGGTACTAAGGATCAAACTAAGGAACTTGTGCCTGCGAGGCAGGCACAGTGCCACTGAGCTAATCCCCAGCTCTTAATCTACTATTCTTGCATACAGCTGTTCACTAGTTTATCCTTCTACAATGTCATGTCTTCGGGCTATTTCCTTGCCCAAGCTCATAGATCTTGTTTCATATTTAGTGTTTTCTCTTGAGTCATATAGGCTTTGTTTGTTTTTGCTTTGTGTTTATTGATTTTACGCTGTCTACCCAAATTATTTTTATTGTATACACTGTAAATACTTTTTCTTTATTGTCTCTTTTATATCTCATGTTTTACATGCGTTTCTGTTTCTTCCTCTAATTTTGATGGCTTCTGGCTTTCCCATTAAAGAAACACTTTTTCACATCCAAAAGATAACTATGAATTCTGAAGTATTCACATTTATATTTTCCATTTCAAGATGTAACTTAATTGGAGAATAAATTTCGTGTTTCAATGTATGTACCTGTTTTTCCCTGGTTGTATTAAACACATTGTGATTTCTGCCACTTTGTACAATTACAGGTCTATCGTGGATCGGTATTCTATTTGCATGTAAGCCCGCTGAAGATGGTCTTCCTTTTCTGTGAACTATTTGTCATTCATTCTACCAATATAGTCCCCTAATAGTGGATTTTTAAATTTCTTTCTTATATATTAGGCAAGCTATGCCTTCTTGTATACTAATTATTGATTATTGTTAGACATTCATTATACTCCACAGCTATAATTCTTTTGACAAATCAAAGATGTGATTTGGAAGTGACAAATTTTTCTGCCACTTTTTCCTTTTATTATTAGTGTTTACTAACTTTGCAAAATATTGATGTTCGGTACATATATAATTTGATCATATCCATCCCTGCATTTGTCTAGCTTATATCACCCTAGAATTTTTTATACCTCTGTGACATTTGATCATTTGGTATCACTGAGATGTAACATAATATGACCTCCTTAATTTAATTCCATTGTTCTTAGCCATTCTCTATTAAACACTGTAATGCCGTCCAGGAACATTTTAAATTATCATTCGTGAATTGTATTTAGTGTTCAATAATGTGTTGTCTGTGAAACTAGATATGAGTTTCAAAATGCTGCCTAAATATAATCAGAGAAGGAAGGGAACAATTCCCTAAATATGTTTTGGAAAGAGACATTTTCTGTGATCTCTTAGAGCAATTAATTAGATACTCATCTACTCCAGCTTTTTATTTAGACGATGATTTTATAGACTCAGTGAGCTATGCTTTGGAGACAGAGTACAAACAGAACTGGATCTAACCAGTGAGAGGACCTGTGCTCCCCTTCTGTTGTGGCTTTAGCAATGGATTCCAGTGTAACATCCGATTTCCTGTGTAAGGTGTCCACGTGGTTGAAGAATAAGTGTCTGATGACCAAAACATGGAGTAAATATTTAAAGGATTCAGCTTCATTTCAACTTTTCATGAGCGCAGCTGAAATGTTCTGAGCTTGTGAGTCTCAATTTTTTTTCCTGGAAATATGTGTGATGATTTAGGAGGCAGTGGACTTTGAGGATGTGGCTGTGAACTTCACCTTGGAGGAATGGGCTCTGCTGGATCCATCCCAAAAGATGCTCTACAGAGACGTGATGTCAGAAACACTGAAGAACATGGCTGTTATTGGTAAGAAAGACATTATTTTCTAATGTATATAAGTAGGGAACATTGTGTCTTACCAGTGTAGTTTCATTCATTGGAATATGAAAACATTTAATGGATATTTCTGGCATCTTCACGTGACACTTTGAATGTAAATAAAAATCTGTTAATTTTTATGTAGTGTAGCAATTTATCATTATGTTTCTCTTTCTGCCCTTTAGGACAATACTATAATAATCAGCAAATTGAAGATGAGTGCAAATGTTGGAAGAGATATCTAAGGTAATTTGTGCCCAACATCAAAAACAATGTTCCTCAAGAGTCAGAGAATGAGCGCAAATTTTAAAACCAAGCAAGTATTGAACGAGTTTAAAGTTTATTTATTTATTTAATCTCACGGTTCTCCTAAAATCCACATGGTTTGAGTATCTATAATGTGACAATTGAATATTAAAACTCTCTAATATTGGAAATGTAGGAAGTACTGAGACACAAGTGCCGTTATCTAATACATCAGGACAAACAAATTTTGTTCCACGTTCAGGGTTATAAGAATGTGTGACTTTGTCCTTTAGGCATTGACTGTAGGTGTATATGAAACAAATTTTGTGTTCATGCCTGGTTACAAGTTCAGGGTATTTGTATCAGTTAATGTATCTGTGTGTTCTCTAAAGCCTACTTTGATATCAGTCGATTTATATACAAAATGCTATCTTTATTTAAATGTAGTAAATGTGTTCAGTATTTGCATAATTGCTGACATTGTAGATGTATTCAAAATCATTGAAATGAATGTCACTGTTTTGGTAATGGCTGTCTTCAAGTAATCCTCCATAGCATCCACCCCATCCTTCCTCCAAAATTATTAGAAGAAACCTTCTTTTATTGTTGGTGGGATTGTCATGCAGTTCAACATCCAGGAAATGTCTATGGAGATAAGCACAAATAGAAATTTCATTTCATCCAGCTGAACTTCTGGGTATATTCTGCCAAAAGTTAAAGTAATCATATTAGACTGATAAATGCATATCCACGTTTATAACAGCACAACTCACAATAGCTAGCTCTGGAAGCAAACTGCTGGCCACCCACAAACGAGGGGATTAAGGATCTATGAGATAGTCTAGGCATGATGATATATGCTTGAAATCCTAGCACTCTGGGAAGTTGACAAGAAGATCACACTTGTCCTCAGCCTGGGCAACGTAAATGACCGACGAGATTCTGCTCAAAATAAAACATAAAAAAAGCCAGGGAATGTAGCACATTGCTAAGGCTGTGCATTAAACCTTCAGTCCTGAACATACTGTGCTAAGTATACATAATGGAATTGTGCTCAGTGGAAAATGAACTGGTATCATTCGCTCAAGAAATGGATGACTCTTGTGTCCATAATATTACATGAAAATAAGTGAGACAGTTCCATGTCACCTGGTATAGTTTGTATGATAAACTCAAAATAACAAGCTGTAAAATGAGAGATGATGGTAAAACAGAAAGAGGCAAACTTTACAGCGGGGAAAGAGGTTCAGTGGAAGGGAGGGGTGGTATCATGGATGAAATAGTTTAAAAAATAATCAGCATATATCAATTTCCCCAAAATGGAAGTAAATATTATATATTGCAAACATTTGAAAAATCGTCTTTCAGTAAAAGCTGTTTTCAAGCCATCTTGCAATGAGTACATTAAATTCATTGTCAAATGTAGTTAAGGAGCCTCACACCAGATCACCTCCTGATAAATCTTTAATAAGGAGACAGTTTTAAATATGATTGGTTGTTTTGTTATTTTTTCTTCTACAGCAGTGAAGAGACGGAGAAATGCTGTCAATGTCAATTATACTGTGAACTTGGAGGAATGTTTCTTTGGACTCCAAACCTTCATGTGAACATGAAACCATTCGGTGCGCAAACAGCTGAAAGCGTAGCTGACGGAGTTCCTTCCATTAGTCATTCATCCCTAAACCTTCCCGTCAGCACTCGCGGTACCCTGGAGTCCTGTGAGTACCCGGGATCTGAAGAGAAGCTGTCTAAGAGGAAGGAACATGGGGGAACCGGCAAAGATCTCCAGTCCTTTCAGAAGCGTGCAGAAAGCCCTGGGGAGAAACCCTGCAGGGGAAAGCAATGTGGGAAATCCTACTCTGACTGTACTGAAGGGACTTACATTGGAGAGAAGCCCTCTGGAGGTACAGGAGATGCCGAAGCCTTCGATACACCCAGTTATTTTCAAATGCACCAGAAATACCACAGTCGAGCCAATGTCTCTGTGTGTACACCAGGAGGAACAACTTCTCACCACGATATTCCAGTACAGGAAAGGACTCACACTGCAGACAAACCCTGTGTGTGTAAACTCTGTAAGAAAACTTTTACTAATCGCTCTTCATTTTGTAGACATAAAAGAACTCACAGATTGAGGAAATCGTACATATGTAAGCAATGTGGGAAAACATATCTTCATTATAGTTCGTTATTTAGACATAAAAGAACTCACACTGGGCAGAAGCCTTATATATGTAAGCAGTGTGGGAAAGCTTTTGCTGATTGCGGTTCACTTTCTAGACATAAAATAAGTCACACTGGAGAGAAGCCCCACGTATGTAGGCAATGTGGGAAAGCTTTCAATAGGCGCAGTCATTGTCAGGCGCATGAAAGAACTCACAGTGGAAGGGCTCACCCTAGAAAGAAAGCCTTAGTGTGTAAGGATTGTGGGAAAGCTTTCATGTATAGCAGTTCCTTTTGTATCCATAAAAGAAGTCACACTCAAGAGAAACCTTTTGTGTGTAAGCAGTGTGGGAAAGCTTTTGCCAGTTCTAGTTCTTGTTATGCACATGAACGAATTCACACTGGGGAGAAACCCTACATATGTGAGCAGTGTGGGAAAGCTTTCGCCAGTCCCAGCTCTCGTCAAGTGCATGAACGAATTCACACTGGAGAGAAACCGTTCACCTGTAAACAGTGTGGGAAAGCTTTCAGGGCACGCGGTGCTTGTCAAAAACATGAAAGGACTCACACTGGAGAGAAACCCTATGTATGTAAGCAGTGTGGGAAAGCTTTCAGCTCTCATGGGTATTGTCAAATACATGAAAGAAGTCACACTGGAGAGAAACTCTTTGTATGTAAGCAGTGTGGGGAAGGCTTCACTAATTATAGTTCATTTTCTAGGCATAGAAAGAGTCACACTGTGGAGAAACCATACGTATGTAAGCAATGTGGCAAAGCTTTCAGGCAACGCTATAATTGCCAAACACATGAAAGAACTCACACTGGAGAAAAACCATATGTATGTAAGCAGTGTGGGAAAGCGTTCACCACTCACAGTAATTGTCAAGCACATGAAAGAAGTCACACTGGAGAGAAGCCCTATGTATGTAAGCAGTGTGGGGAAGCCTTCAGTAATAACAGCTCATTTTACAGACATAAAAAGAGCCACAATGTAGAGAAACCCTATGTATGCAGGCTGTGTGGGGAAGCCTTCATTAATAACAGATCATTTTATAGACATGAAAGTAACCACACTCGAGAGAAACTCTATGAATGTAAGCAGTGTAGGGAAGCCTTCACTAGTAAGACTTCATTTTATAGACATAAAAAGAGTCACACTGGAGAAAACCCCTATGTATGTAAGCAGTGTGGGGAAGCCTTCGCTAAGTACAATTCATTTTATAAACATAAAAGGTGTCACACTGTGTAGAAACCCTACCTTATATATATAAGCAATGAGGGAAAGCTTTCATTTGTCATACCCATTGTGAAAGATTAAAAAATTTTTTAAAAAACTTAACATTGGAGAAAAACCCTCTGGATGCTATTGTGAAAGGAATTGTTTCCCCAATTTTTGGCTCAGTGAGTCTGTTATTTGTGTACAAGAAGGCTGTTGATTTTGGGGTGTTGACCTTGTATCCAGCTACTCTGCTGAAAGTGTCAATTAAGTCTAGAAGTCTTTTGGGGGAATTTTTGGGGTCTTCAATGTAGAGTATCATATCGCCAGCAAATAATGACAGTTTAACTTCTTCCTTTCCTATCTTTATTGCTTTGGTTTCTTTCTCTTGTCTAATTGCTATGGCTGATGTTTCCAGAACTATATTGAGGAAGAGTGGTGATAGTGGGCATCCTTGTCTTGTTCCTGATTTTAACATAAAGTTTTTCAGTTTTTGGCCATTTAATATGTTGGCTGTTGGTTTTTCATAGATAGCCTTTATCGAGTTGAGCTATAGACCATCTATTCCAATTTTTTGCAGGGTTTTTTATCATGAATGGGTGTTGAATTTTATCAAATGCTTTTTCTGCATCGATTGAGAGGATGATATGGTTTTTGTCCTTGACTCTGTTAATATAGTATATGTAATGTTTCTTGACATAAATTACAAACTCAAAAATGTCTGTAAAATGATTAAGTGAATAATTGTTTACTAAATCTTGAAAATGTTACCTATTTTGCAGAATATGGAAAACGCTGATGGGTAATGAATATTGAATCAGTGTCTTCAGTTGGTGTTAATATTTGAAGCACAAGAAACACAAGAAATGTAGGCAAATGGAAAGAAAATGTACTCTATCTCTTACACGTGTAACATTATAAAATTTTCACAATAGCTTTTAGAGGTGCCTGTAAGTATATATTTGAAGATCAGGAAAATAACGGTCGATATTACTAGCCCCTCAAAATAAATATTTTAGTTAATTCCTTCTGCATTTTTTCCTATCTCTATTCTGTTTGGCATCCTTCTTTATTTCTCTGAATGTAGCATTCACATCAAAGATGAATTCAACAAAGAGCAAAAGGTGACACTGAGGGGTTGGCAAATATCGTAGGGTGCACAGTAGTTGGTGCTTCTTCAAACAACTGTGAATATGGCCAGATATAGCATATAGCTCTGCATTAAATTTTCACTAGTAAGTGGATCATGATAATGAAAAATTGTTAGGAAAACAGGTGCAGTGTCTCTTAGAAAGGATGATTAGGAGAAAGACTTCCAGCTAGCAAAGAATACACAGGCTCAATCTCCAGCATGTGGGAGAGGTACTCATCATGTTCTAAGTTAGAAAGTAAAGATGCATTCAATGATCATGTTCAGCAAATTGAATTATAATATTGAAACCTCCCTGGCATGCTGTTTTTTAAGTTTAACAAAACACAGTATTGTCTGTGTTTTTTGTTTGTTTTTTTTTTTTTTGAATAGCAGACATTCAACTTATTCTTCATTAGTTATCTAGTACCATGTAAACATTAAACATAAACTCTAGGCTAGCATATTAGCAAAATCAACAGAATAGGTAATTCTATGGCTGTGCACCACAGAACCATCTATTTGAACAATAATCCATACAAGAATATCCTCCAGGAGCTAAAGAAACCATGTTAAAGATTACAACATCTCTACAGAATGTAAGGAAGAAATCATGTAAACACGATAATAGGAAGGACACTTATTTATTACACATGTTACCTTCCACAATTCCAGACTTCACGGTATTGAGAGATACCCTCTGCTTCAGACAAGGAGAAGGACTTAAGCAGCAGACTTTGTCGTGAACCTCATCATGGGGGCTACTTCAGCAAAGCTCAGCAGTGGCCTGATTTCACAGGTCCAGACTCCAGGTAGTTTGCAGAGAAAGGAGCTTCTTTCTGTCAAGTGCAGGTTGGAACCTGTGGCCCAGCAGTCTCGGGTATCAGTAGTCTCAGCCTTTGGGTCCATATTCCATCAGCCTGGCCTTTGCCAGGCCTATGCCTAAGGCAAGACCCTAAAGCCCCATATTCTAGGTTATTTATAAACAACCTAAGATTGGAAGAGAAAAAAAATTAAAAATCATACAAATAACTTGTAAATTTCCTAAGAACAGCAAAAAAGAGCAAATATTCTAAATGTAGGATTTAAAGAATGAAAAGAGCAACACAAACATTTTGAGAGCTTATAAATAATAATTCCAGAAAGATTTCCAAACCCAGGGAAAGATATAAATATTCAAGTACCAGAAGGTCAAATGTGTCCGATAAAAGTTAATCCAACAAGACATAGGATAATCAAGTCATCTAAATTATAAACAACATCTAAAGAGAGAATCATAAAAGCCATAAAAATTACAACACAACAGACAAAGGTATCCCAACAGTACTACTAGCATTGTCTTCAACAGGAAAAGAAAAAGGTCAGGAAACAACAGGATGCCTGTTCCAAGTGCTAAAAGAGACAAATTGCCACTCAGGTATGTTTCTGTAGTGTGAGCTTCCCATTCTTTTGACAGAACAGAAAGTCAACTTTAAACCAAGACTGATATATCTTGACAAATTACCTCAAAATTGACGGAGAAAAGAGGTATTTCTGTGATACAGAGTACTTAGAGAAATGTATGATCACAAAATGAAAAAGCCAAAAAATTCTCAAGGATGTCTTAGAAAGAGGCAATGAAGCTAGCAATGCCAAAAAGTCTAATAAAATGAATGCATTAAGTAGGGATAGCATCTATGTAGAGGGGAAAGAAAGCAAAAGAGCAACAGGAAAATTATACAATGACAGGAATAAGTCAATCTCTGTTAATTATAACTATTAATATAAGTGGACTTGTTGCGAGCCGCAACGTCAGAATCCTGCCAGCAGGTCCCAAACCTGAGGGAAGAACAGGAGAGCAGTTTCACGAACTTAGTTCCAGGCTCGTTCTCTCTTCGTAGCAAGGCCCCGTTTATTTTTCAGGGTGGGGTATATATAGGCTAAAACCGAAACCAAAAGTGTAAACATTTATACTCTTCAGCTGCATGGGAGAGAGGGCTGCACGGGAGCGAGAGTACCGCCCACACATTCCAGGGGGAAACAATAACAACCATTACGGGTTACATCTGCTACCAGCTGAACTCGCCCGTTGCTATGGCCGACAGCACGTCCGTGCCGGCGAGGTGACTCAGAGTTCAATCATGGCTAGGCCTATGTCATGGCTCACCATGATGGCTCACTGTATGGACTCAATTTGCTAATCAAAAGGTACAAATTAGAACGGATCAAGAAACAATTCAACTATATGCTGTATATAAGAAACATTTAACACAAGAAGAAATTCATAGACTAAAAATCAAAAGATGAAAAAAATATGGCACACAGCAGAAACACCAAAATAAGCAGGAATAGCTCTACTATTTTTCAGAGTGGACTTCAAGCCAAAGCTGATCAAAAGAGGCAAAAACAACACTACATATTCATTAACAACTATTAACAGGAAGAGATAACAATTATAAACATATATGCACCAAACCACAGTGCACCCAACTTCATAAAATACTAATAGACATAAAAGGTCCGAAAAAATCAACACAATTATAATGTGGAAGCAATACCCCACTATCACATATATATATATAATTAGATATGATAAATAGGAAATAGGGAGATCAAGTACTTCCCCAAATTATTCCATTGTTTCAAAAATACTTAAACATAAAAAAGTTAATATATATGTTACTTTGTTTCATATTACTAGTTTTATAGTTCACTGAAAAGAAAATTCTGTGATATCCATTTGTGGTTTTTTTGCAAGAATCTTTTTGGTCTGTTTCTTATACTCTGAGTATCTACTTTGAAGACAATGGTACACAGTGTATTAACAACAACAACAAAAAGAAAGAATAAAGTAGAGTCATTATAATCCTGAATTTCAAGTTATGCTAAAAAGTTGTGGTGATGAAAACATTATGGCAATGGTACAAAAGCAGACATGTTCATCAATAGAGCTGCCACCTTCTGAAGTGACTCTGAAAGCCCTCTTTTGTGAGAGTCTTTATGGGATGTGATAAAAATTATAGGGAATGAGAGGGGAGGAAATGGTGGAGCCGTGAGTGCCAGCAACTCAGCTTCTCCAGGACAGTGTGGAGTCTGGAAGATAACATGGGGAGGAGCTGAAGTTAGCGAAGTGCACATGGGACCACAAGGGAACTGATGGAGGAGAAGAAAGCAGGGTTCATTGACACGCAATAAGTAGACCACCACTGCAAATAGGAGACCATGCTGCACCACAGGAAGTGGCTGTGTAGCCATTAGCTTGAAGGCAAAGGGAAAATAACATGTGTGCTCACAGAGAAACAAAAATCTACACTTGGACCAGGAGAATCTCATGCAGCTGGAGACAGCAGTAAGAACACAAGACACTGCTTCCCAAGCAGAGCCTCAGGGTAAACAGTTGGTGAGTGACTGGAGCAATATCAGAGCAATCATAACAGGAAAATTCATTGCAGTCAGTGTTCGCATTAGGAAAACAGAGCAAGCCCAAATAACCTTTTGAGAAACCTTAAGATGCTTAAGAAACAACAACAAACCAATATCAAACCAAAGTTACAGAAGAAAATTATAAAGATGGAGAGTGGAAAAATCAATGAAATTGAGACTAAAAATAACTGTACAAAAATCAACAAATTAAAGAGCTGGTTCTAAGTAGAAGGATACAAAATCAGTGCACGAAAATCATTAGCTTTTGTGTACACCAACAATGAATGGGATGAGACAGAAATTATGAAAATGATACCATTCAGTCACTTGAAGAAAAATTAAAATATCTAGAAATTAACCAAAGCAAGGAAGTGAAAGACCTCCACACAGAAAACTGCAGTAATCTGAAGGACATTGAAGTGGACATCAGAAAATGGAAAGATGTTCCCTGCTCCAGGGTAGGCAAAACCAATATTGTCAAAATGGCCACAGTACCAAAACTTTTATACAGATTCTATGAAATCACAATAAAAATACCTTGATCTTAGCAAAAGAAGCTATTGAAATCACAATCAAAATACCAACAGTAAACTTTATAGATCTAGAGAAAACAATCCTAAAATTCAGACATAACCAGAAGGGACTGAGAATACCCAAAGTAATTTTGGGCAACAACAGCAAAGCAGGTAGCACCGCAATACTTGACTTCAAGCTATACAAAAACCAATAGTGATAAAATGGCATGGTATAAAACAAAAATGCACATGGATCAATGAAACACAACTGAAGATACAGAAACCTCTTGCCAGACATATTCAACAATTTGATGGTTGGCAAAAGTGCCAAAAGCCTATGTTGCAGAAAAGAGAGCCTGTTTAACAAATGGTATTGGGAAAACTGGTTATCTGTTTGCAGAAAGTGAAACTGGCTCCTTATCTCTCATCATATACTCAATTAAAATAAAAATGCATTGAAGATATGAACATTAAAACAATCATTAAACCTTCTGGAAGATAAAATAGGTAAAACACTTGACATAGGTGTAGAAAAGATCTAAACAACCTCAATCGCACAAGATACAGCAGCAAGAATCAACAAATGGGATTATATCAGACTGAACAGCTCTGTTCAACAAAAGAATCAATCAGTAGAGTGAATAGACTACTGACAGAATGGGAGGAAAACATTGGCCAGCTACTCTGGTGAGGCTGTCGTGAAAAAGGAACTCTCCTACACTGTTGGTGGGAATGCAAATCAGTATAACCATTATGGAAATCAATATGGAGATTTCTCAAAGAACTGAAATTAGAAATTCCCTATGACCCAACAATCCCCCTGCTATCCCCCAAGCTTTGTTTGGCTATTTAACATCTTTTGTGGTTCTATATGAGCATTAAGAGTATTTCTCTGCATTTCTGTGAAGACTGGAATTTTGATAGTTATTTCAGTGAATCTGCAAAATGCTTTTCTATTAATATTGGCACATACACGATATGATATCACATGGCTATGAAAGGTAAATTGGAGACCTTTGTAGGAAAATGGATACACTTGGAAAATATAGTGTTAAGAGATATTTGGATGCCTCATACTCATGTGGCAAATACCCGCAATGAATGTAAATGTTGTATTTCACAAACATGAACTAAAAAAAATAATGACAATGGGTTAAGGGGATCTAGAGACAGGGAGGAAGGTGGGTGGGAGGGGAAAGGAATTGAAAAAGAATCCATATATTCAGTACATGTGCCTAATCCTTAAGATAATAGTAAACTTCATGTACTGTAAACATGTACTAACAAAGTAAAATAAAATGAAATTAAATAAATAATTCCACCACTTCATGAACATGGGATATATTTCTGTGTATTGGTGTTGTCTTCATTTGGTTTCATCAGTTTTTTAAAGATTTTTAGTGTATTGATCACTCGTTTCAGGGAGTATATGTATTCCTAATTTTATGTTTTTAAGGCCACTGTGAATTGGAAAGTTCTTTTAGTTTCCTTTTGGATTCTTCATTATTAGTGTATGGAAATACTACTGATTTTTACACATTGACTTTGTAGACTGCTGCTTCACTGAGTTGATATATCAGTTCTAGTAATGTCTTTGATGGAGTTTTTTAGGATTTTTCTATATATCGTAAGACCAGATTGCCAGCCAATAAAGATCATTTCATTTTTTTCTTTTCCTATTTGTTTTGTTTCGGTGCTGGGGATCCAACTTAGGTCCTTGCACTTGTGAGGCAGGGAGTAGCACCACTGAGCTAAATCCCCAGCCTCTTCCTTTCCTATTTGAATGGCTTTTGTTCTATTTGTTTTGCTAAGACGTCCAGTAATATGTTGAATAAAAGTGGTCAATGAGCACATCCAGTCTTGTTTCTTATAATGGGAAAACCTCCAATTCCTCAGTATTAGGTGTGGTGTTAATGGTAGGCTTCTCATATATGGCCTATATTTCGATGAAATACATTCCTTCTATACTGATTTTTGTCAAATGCTATTTGACAAAAAAGCAAACATTTTATTTTCATTCTGCTGAGAAGGTGAATGCTATTTCTTGATCTGCATATGTTGAATCACACCTGTATCCTAAATAGAAATCCTACATGATTATTGTGAAAGATCTCTATGTGTTGTTAAATTTGACTTGCTAGTATCTTGTTGAAGACTTCTGCATTTCTATTCACAAATTGTGGTCTAATTTTGCTTTCTCACAGTTGTTTTTCTTTTCTCTTTTTTAATCTGGGTTTAATATCAGGATAATATGTCTCTCGTGACATCAGTATTTCTCCTCATCTGCCCTCTCCCACTCTTCCTTCTCTTCCTCTTTTTCTTACTCCTACTCCTCCTTCTCTATCTTTGAAGGTGTTAAAGGATTATTATTTAACATCTTTAAGTACTATTATTTACATCTTTATCTTCTAGAATTAGCAGTGAAGTCATAGGCTCTGCACTTTTCTTTACTGGGAGAAGTTTTCTTACAAATTCAGTCTCCTTACTAATTTTGGTCTCATGAGATATTTTGGTTTTTCATGAGCACAATTCAGTACATTCTGTACTCCCAGGAGATTTTCTCCTTATTCTAGATTATCAAAGAGGTTGACATAAAATATAGCATTTTTATAATGGCCTCTTATGACATTTTTATTTCTGTGATATCAGCCGTAATGTCCCCTTTTTAATGTTTTGAATTTATTTCTTTGAAAAACAGCTTGTCTGCTAAAGGCTTTTTTATGTGGCAACACCTTGTCATTTCATTGATATTTTCTATTATTTCACTTTTTGTCTGTTTTGATCTTTCTTATTTCTTTCCTTTTCCATTTGTTTCCATGCTTTTTCTAGTTTCTTACGGTATAATGTAGATTTTTTTTAAAATTCAGACTTCTCTTATTTTCTGTTGTAGCTATTTAATGATACAAATTTCTCTCTTAAAACTGTTTTTCAGCATGTCCTAAGTTTTAGCACGTTGTGTTCCCACTTTACTTTGAACTCAAGATTTCTTCTATTTGTTTGTTTTACTGAATGAGTGTTCATGAATATAGGGTCACATTTTGCATGATATATGTGATAATTTAAAGGGGTCAAATTATACTTCTCTATTGGAAAGTAGGATCAAAAAATTGGAATACAGAATTTAACTTTTAAAAGTATAATGCAGCCATGGGCAAATATTCAGTACAGTTCACTTCATTTCCCTGGTTGTTTTATGGAAACTGTGGGAGACAAAGCCGAAAAGGTCCCTACACAACCATGGATCCCTATAACCTCTCAGCTGCTGACAGGTTCTGCTCCCGCGGTGGTTTCCCTCCCTCGGTGACTTTTTGTAGCACACATTACTGCTGAGGGAAGGACAGAGACTGGTGACATTGTCTCTCATTCTCTCTGGAGAATTCCTGTGTCAGTGTGTGTGTGTGTGTGTGTATACATTTGTGGCAACATACACTTTCTAAATTGTTAGAGATAAATAAAATGGTTTTATTAAAGACTGTTTAGAATCACTATAGATTTACATAAAATTTGTCAAGATAGTATGGAAAACTCTCATTCACCGCTCACCCAGTTCCCCTTTCTCTTAAAGTCACAGTTTTCTGGATCATGGCAAAACTAGCATCATTAAACTGTGAGTTTTACTCGGATTTCACAGTTTTCTTTATTCATGCCCTGATTTGCCCCAGGATCAAATCTCACACACCTCACTGAAAGAAACCTGCTCGCATCATGGCGGTCATGAAGCAGGGAGACGAGGCAGCAGCCTGGGAGGGAGAGACGCCCTTCCTGGTCAAACCCCAGCGACCTGCCTCTTCAGGCCAGGCCCGCCTTCTAACAGCACACTTACCTGTGGCCTCCCCACGATCCGCTCCCGATTGAAAGCTGGCCTACGAGTGCATAAGGTGCTTGGGGACGCGCAGGCATAAACCACGACAATCTGTACTGTCTGCACTGAATATTCCTGCCATGGGTGTAGCACAATTGTTAACCACTCGGGCATTTTTGCGGGTTCTAAGTGCATTTTTAAATCAATATTTCCACGACAATCTGTACTGTCTGCACTGAATATTCCTGCCATGGGTGTAGCACAATTGTTAACCAGTCGGGCATTTTTGCGGGTTCTAAGTGCATTTTTAAATTAATATTCGCACACAAAAAAGCACAAAGCACTAGGTGTACATGGATTGGATAGTTTTGGGAAATGGAGGGGCGATTGGCTAAATAGACACCAGTTCATTAGTGAGCACAAGTGTTTTCCCCCGACTGCAGAAACAACACATCCTGCTCAGTCTTGCATCTGACAGCTAACCTTCAGTCCTGGAAGTAGTCACGGCTTTCACTGTCTGTCAGGTTATACGAGTACTTGTTAAATCTTCACTGAATACATGCTAGTACAGCAGTTCTCTGAAAACTAGATGTTCCAGCTGAAGACAAGGCCTTTATAGGTGCCCATGGCTACCGAGTATGGTGTAACCATGTTCGTGCCTCTCAGGGGCAGTTTTCTGCATGATCTCCAAGTGTGATGAGTCCAGATTCATCTGCACTATGAAATTTGTGGATAAAACAAGAACCTTAATCATGGTTTATATCAATTATTTCTTAGTTTGGTTTCTTCTCCTATCTTGAACTTTAATTACCTCAACTTTTCTTCTAATATATTTTGTAGAAAATATCTCTGAAATTTAAGTTTGGGGGTTTTGGGGGGATTCTTTGCATATTTGCCTGGTATCCTCTTCACAGACCACGTTTTGACCATATTATGTGTCAGTACTTAGAGCCAGAGAATTTTCAAACTCTCATGCATAGAAATAACACTGTGCGTTATTATAGGATAAGACCCATGTAGGACAGAGCTGAAGGTGTGAAGTGAGGTGGACCCCAAGGATCCAGGAAATGTGAGCGACAGAGCACCAGCCTTCTGAGACGTGAGCTGGCGATTTCCATTCTCTGGACTAAAGTGCTTTCAGATGCCTGTCTAAGGTTGGACTCGGCCCGCAAAACTCTTTAGCAATCAACTTCCCTGCAGAATTCGCAACCAGCGAATAGCCGAGCCCAGGAAGATGCGGAAGGGACAGCGACCCTTCTGGGAGAAGCTTCAGTCGTCCGCTCGCGCTCTGGCGCCGCATGTCCTCCCGCGAGCGGGTCTGCGGGGCCGCGGTGCCTGTCCCCGGGTCCCAGCTTTCCTGCCTCCCAGAGTCCTCCCGAGAGCCGCCTTCACCTCTTTGTTCCGCAAACTGTAGATGATGGGGTTGAGCACGGACGTCACCACCGTGTAGAAGAGGGCCAGCAGTTTATCCGTGCCTGGCGAGCGGCTGGCCTTGGGTCTCAGGTAGGTGACGGACCCTGAGCCGTAGAAGAGGGTCACCACGAGCAGGTGGGACGAGCAGGTGGAGAGGGCTTTGCGGCGGCCCTCAGGAGAGGGCGCGGCCATCACCGAAGCCAGAATGCGGGCGTAGGAGGCGATGATCAGGGAAAACGGGCTGGAGATGCAAAGCGCAGCGGCCACGAAGACCAAAGCCTCGTTCCGGGATGTGTCCCCGCAGGCCAGGGCCAGGATCGGCGGGAGGTCGCAGAAGAGGTGGTCTATCTCACAGGGCCCACAGAAGTCCAGGGAGAAGATAAAACTGGTCTGGCCCAAGCCCACCGTGCATCCCACCCCCCAGGAGGCCGCGGCCAGGCGGGCGCACACCCCCCGGCTCATCCGAGCCGCGTAGTGAAGCGGGGCGCATATGGCCGTGTAGCGGTCGAAAGCCATGGCTGCCAGAAGGCAGCACTCGCTGATACCGAAAAGCGTGAAGAAGAACATCTGCGTGGCACAGGCCTCGCGGGAGACGGCCGGGGCCCGGCTCAGCAGGCTCTGCAGCATCTGCGGTACCACCGAGGCCGTGTAGCCGATCTCCAGGAGAGACAGGTTGGCCAGGAAGAAGTACATGGGGGTGTGCAGGGCGGCGTTGGTGCGGATGGCCAGGGCTATGAGGGCGTTGCCCGTCAGCGAAGCTAGGAACATGAGCAGGACCAGGGCGAACAGCAGGAAACACTGCTCCGCGGCCTCGGAGAACTTGGCAAAGGCAAAACGTGTGACAGACGCGCCGTTCTCCGGCCACGAGGAGCAATTCAGACTCATGGCCCGGAAAAGAGAAGAGCGGAGAACTCAGAAGGGCTCTCCCAGAGGAGGGAAGCGAGCCTTAGGCCCTTCGAGAACGTTCGTGAGGCAGGGAGAGCGATTTCCAACCTGCAAATCCAAGGTTCAAGAAGTTAGGAAATGACCAAGCATCCTCACAGCCTGCACGGCAAGACCTGCGCTGTGCTCCCTCATGGGGCGCGGCGCACACAACAGACTTAATCCAACCTGCAAATCCAAGGTTCAAGAAGTTAGGAAATGACCAAGCATCCTCACAGCCTGCACGGAAGACCTGCGCTGTGCTCCCGCATGGGGGGCTGCGCGCACAACAGACCTACGGCCAAGCAGGAAGTGGACAGGTGCTCAGGGCAGGTCCGCTCCCTCCTCCCTCAGTCAGGGCTCAGATGTCACCACACGGACATCGCGTACTAACGCGTGCTAACACACGCCGAAAAGCTACGCTGGAAGTCAAAATGTCGTCTCAAGGCTGCTCGTTTCTCTGCATTTGCTTTGCCTCCACTTGCTTTCTTCACCCCTTTATTCAGTAATCACCGAGTTCAGAGGAATTTGAAGGACCCTTGTGGGCCCTGGCATTCCGCAATCGACAAAACCCCACTCTTCCCAGATGAGACTGAATTGGAAGGAAGGCAGCTGGAAACCAGGCAGCCCCTTGAAACAACCCCAGGGCTCATCCTGGGGCTGCGCTGCCCCGATGAGAGGGGCAGAGAGGGTTCTTGCACAGCAGAGGCAGGGGCTGAGGTCTGAAGGGAACGTGGGGTGTCCACGCAGGGCACCACGCCATCCACACGTGGCCGTGGGCTTCCAGGGCCCCACAGGGATGCTCAGGGCTTCACCCCAGTGTCCCCTCGTGCAGCCCGCTGCTCTGAACATCACCATTGCTGCACGGTAAAACGCACATTTCTGAAGGTGTTTCAGGGAAATGTGCGAATCGTCACTGGCATTTGACCGAAAGTTTTATTTACCTGTTGTGCAATGGACCTCAGGCCGCATCCTATGAAAACCTTTGCATCTTTACTGCGCACCGAATGCTTTGGGCCGTGTCCTAAGGTGTGGACCTGGAAAGTGAGTACTCAGAAGTAGCATTAAGCTAAACCCTACACAGTGTTTACCCTGGAGAGGGTGAGAAAGGAGGAGGTGTCCCTCGGCTTGTGTGGAGTCTGTTTATGGACATGAACTCGTGTGTTCGTGCCGCAGTTGTTTACACATCAATGCCCGAGACAGCAGATATCGGAAAAAGTGCACCTGTAGGGCTCCAAATCCTGTGAATACCCAAGTCTGCCAGCCACATCCACAGAAATGTGTGCGCAGGGCAGCATCAGTCTCAGAACTGAACACGGAGACGCGTGTGGGCAGCACAGCGGTCCAGAGAGTCCTGGAGATGCTCTGCACCCTGGGAGCCGGCTAGCGCTGGGTGGAAGGCAGCATTTCCTCACGTGCGCTGCTCCCGAATCTCCTTCGTTATCCAAGGAGGAGATGATAACGGGTTTCCCGTCAGGGTGCCGTGCCCTCTGTGCTCCCTCCAGCGAGCTCTCCCGGGGGCGGTTAAGTGCTCCCTGGGCCCAGCTCCGGGGAGACATTTGCACCGGCCCTGTCACTGTGGGCTGTGCCCTGCCAACCTCCCGATGGCTTCACATCTCCATCCCTAAAGTCTCCCCTGATCCCCAGCTTCCCCGTTGCGTTTGCTTTCTGTCCACCTGTCTTGGAAGAGAGGAGCGTGAAAGGATTCCTAGCAGGCGCACACTTCCGCCTTCAGTCCTGGGGAACTGTGAGTCCTCTCCCCTGGTGAACTGAGGGCCGCTGCTCCCCGCACAGGAGCCAGCAGCTGCAGGAGGGCGGGGTCGGCCCCACAGACCTGCTCTGCAGGTGGCAGGTGGGCAGCAGCTCAGGCCGAGCTCAGCCCCGTGGCTGCTGCCGAGACTTCATGCGCGCAGTGCGCTGTGCGGGCGCTCCCTCCTGTAAAGCGCGCACGAACGTGTTCCTGGCTCTGTGACTCATTCAGACAGCAGCGTTTCTCCTGCAGTCAGAGTTCACGGAGGCCCGGGACGAAGCACCGAGACAGTGGTGCGCGCCTTTAACGGAGCAGGTTTTGGGGAGCGTCCTCGTCCTCCTGGTTACACAGCGGGCCTCATCCCACCCGTCACACTCCCGCCTGTGGGGTGACCCTGCGTCCTGGGTGATGCCAGTGAGCAGGCCGGGGAATCCCAGCCCGAGGAACGAGGTCCCCCATTTCCACCTCACAAGACCACGCAGATGTGCGTCTCCGGGGGTCTTGCTCCACCCAGAGAGCAGACGGCAGCTGCCGGCGTCTGTGCTGGGGACCCGGTGAGCGGCTCAGGGGACTGAGACCCGTGGGGACGGAGCACCAAGGCCTGGGTTTTCAGGCTCCTGTGCCCTGTGGTGAGGGCGTCCCTACCTCGCAGAGTTGTCAGGTCACCACTGGGAGCTCGTGAGCGTCTGCAGGAGCCACGGACATCTCCCCTGACGACAGCCCTGCTCTGTCTCACAGCAAACACTGAAATGCGCAGGTCGGGTCCAGGGAGCCCAGAGGTGGGGAGCAAACAAAGGCAGCAGCGATCTCCCCTCTCTGTCCGTCAGTCCACCCAGTAGGCCGGGCGGGGCCCGACGCATTGCGATTTCTGCGCTTCCTAGGACTCCTTCACCTGCTGCCTGCAGGCGCGGGAGCCGGGAGCCATGGAGTAGAGCCCAGCTGTGCCCTCACTGGACTCTCTCTGCTCTCCTGACGGAGGGAGGAGGGAGACGCCGAGGCCAGGAGTCCGGGGTCCGCGGCTCGGGCACCTGCTGCAGCCGGACGGGTGCACAGCTGGCGTCGCCTCTCGGCTCGCGCTCGGGACGGAGGCTCTGACTCGTTATTTCTTCTACACTGGAAGGAGGAGCCTCCTGTCTCTCCTGTTGAGCCGTGGAAATCCCCTGTTGTGGGGCCAAACAAGGAGCAGACAGTAAGGCGCGGAGATGAAAACGCAGATCTCCTCCCTGGAAGCCGCTTGTGGAGGCGCTCGGGACACCTCGTGGGTGACTCCCCAGTGGGACCCAGCCGTGGGCCGCCCAAGCCGGGTCAGACTCAGGTCCCGAAATGTCTGGGTGCTGAGGGTTTCCCTGCGCAGATGGCCGTCACGGACTGCTGAGCACGTGCGACAGAGAGCGAGGGCCTCGGTGGCCTTCACACCCGCGTCCTGGGCTTCCCGCCGCCCGCACAGGCCCAGAGCAGAGACAAGCCCACGTACACAGCTCCCGGTGCACTTGGGTCTGGTGTCCTAAGGAGAAGTGCTAGTGGACTGTCTCGGTTCCTGCTTTCTCCCGTTTCTATAGTGAAATGGTTCTTTGTTTGCTATCGGCAGAAGCAGAACGTCTGGCCCACAGTGGGATTTTGTATCTGGAACAATGTCCAGTGCTGGACGCCAGGAAGCGCGTGGACTGCTAAGTTCGGTAGTTTATGGTCATGAATTCCTAAGTGCCTCAACAGCAGATGTGATTCATGCAGGCGGCTCAGGGAGAGGCCCCAGGGAGGCCCGGCCCCTTCCACTTTCCCCACAGCAGGGTCTTCAGGAACCTGACGTGGACCTGGGGTCGCCCCCACAGCCCGCGAAGGGGTTGTGTCGCACCCCGAATCCCATGTGCCCGATGATCTAGGAACCTCCACCCCCAGCACTGAGACCTGTGCTAACGTCCCAGAAGCAGTGACCCAGAGCATAACGCGGAGCTACTTCGTGGCAGAGAACCCGAGTCTGAGCGAATTGCGTTCCTCTCCAGAGAAAGAGACATTACTGGGTTGCAGTAAGGACAAGAATCAATCAGAAAATATTTCAAGCATCAGCTGTCCCTTTCATGTTTTCCTTCAGGGTCTTGAGAACCCTTTCACCCGAGGAGGTCAGCCGTGACACGTACCTTTAGTCGCACACCGGAAGGAAAGGCCGCTGGTCTGCTCTGCTTCCCAGCCGGTGATGACCCAAACTCAGGGCGCGCACCTCCTTGGCCTCTTCCGCTCCTGTCACAGGCAGGGGCCGGTTTGGAGCTGAGGAAGACTCGGAGGGGACCCGACACCCCAGCGGCACTGTACGGATCACACGGGGTACCCTGAGCCTCCTGCTCCGTGAGACACAGCAGGCTGTGGCTGTCTTGAGCTGTGTTCTCCTCTGTTTCTCTCTGCTAATCGTCGCCCCTGCCCCAGGGGGATGATGAGTTCTACTCACTGGAGAGGGTCCCGCGTGTCTCTTGGGAGTCACTGTGGCCGGGTCTGTCTCTGTTTGTGGGAAGTGCTGACTTTGGGAAGCACAAGAGTACAGGGGAGCCGGGGTGCGACTGGGCGTCAGGGACTTCCCTGGCACACCTGAGGCCCTGGCTGCGGCGTCAGTGCTGTTCAACAAAGGAGAGACAGACAGAAGGAAGAGAGGGGCAGATCATAAGGAACAGTACATTGATGGTCATTCTGCACGGGCTGTGAACAGCATGTAACACGAACTCGTGAAATATCTATGGCAACCAATCCTTGGGCATTCTAAACCATGAACAGAAATTATTAACTTTTACAGTTTCAGTATTTCTCACTACGTGTTTAGAGTACAAGATAACCGCATTCCCTGTGGGGATTTGCGCACTTACTTAATACATCTTAGATCAGTTTTCAGGCCCCTTTCCCTCCTCTCTCTCCCCTGTTCATCCATCTCCCGGTCCTTTTCCCTCCGCCAAACATTTGCCTTTCTCTCCTACTGTGTATCTTGGTTTTCCTCTTGGTGTAAGTTTTAATGGAATTACGCATGATCGCTCTGACATGGCCGTGAGATCGGTGCGCTTTGATGTCCTATTGTACTGTCAAGGATAACGCTCATTCCACTGTGGGGACTCGGGAATGAATTATGTAACCACCCGGGCACACATGACTTTGACATTGTTCCTGCCCCTTCCTGTCTGAAGTAAACACGAGGCAACAGAGAGCAGAGCTCCTATCAGGATGGGGAGATGCGGGCAGGCACAGGGAGGAGCAGGGTCGGAGAGGACGTGCTCTCCATTAGAGCCCCTCAGGTGAAGGAGGCACCGCGTCCTCTTTGGGAACGCGAGGTGAGATGGTCTCTCGGGGTCCAAAACGGGATCACCATGGAAAGCAGAAAATGTTGGAAACAAGACGGTAACAAAACACAAGCCAAAAATGGTGGCATGTCACTACTGTACTTCAAAGGAAGTTTATAACTTGAAATATTGATGTTAGAAGAAGAAAAATCTTTTAATGAACTAAGTTAATTTTAAGGTTCTAAGGAAAAAACTAAATTCAAAATACTT